AACCACTCCTGACCGCAAAAATCATTATAAACTATCGGAGACCCTACAAAGAAAGAGACGCTGTGGTGAAATACTTATTTTTATTTTTCTTATAAAGTAATATGAGACGAGCACTTCAATTGATCGTGGTATCCAGTGTACCGTTGAATTTATTTGGAAACGATCCACTGCTAATTTAAATATTACCTCCAAGTACCAGGCGCTCATAAATACACCGCAGTCGGTTAATCTCTGAAAAAGTGAAAGCGAAGGTGTACCCCGCCTTAAAAGGGAACCAGTTTTTTTGTAACGAGTATACATCATTCAAAATTGTTACAATGAATCAGTACCAAAAGCATTAAACTTTATATTAAAGTAAAATATTACCGCCTTATAAACCATGTCATTATTAATATTAAGAGATAGCCTACGTCTCTATACAATCCAGTTGAAATCCATCGACATTATATAAGAGATAAGACGTGCCATATACATATCATCATCATAGTAATATTTAACAAAATATTACTCAAGAAACGTTCTGTTATAGCAACGTTTTCGCTGTTTGCATGGGGAATCACACCGTTTTGTGTTGAAATGCGTTAAAAATTCTTGGCACAGTGCCTCAAGAAAAGCGCTTAGCTATTATTACAGTTATGAGACTAAGTGATGTCGAAACTTTTTAAAGCTTGTGACTTAAAAGCGCTCTTACTAAACTGAAACACTCGTACATCTTAGTTTTAACTAGAAACAGAAGTGTTATATTTGACGATTTATTATTATCAACGTCACTAATAAGGATTGTATGAAATCTTTAGCAAAAAACTAAAAATACACTAAAAGTTACTGCAGGTTGTGCCTGAGAAACTTTAACAGTAATTTTGAATATAGCTTAATTTCTTTTCTATTTCGTTGTTTGTATTTATTTACGGCAATTAAGCGTTCTTATAAACAGTTTCCATTTTAATCAGTGTGTTGTATTGCTCTTGTTAATTACTTTATGCTGGAAATATTTATTCATTACAGGGGATCGAGCGCTCTCAGAGATTAAATTGGCGCAGTTGAGTCTTTAAGACTTTAATAGGGCTTCACTTGACGAGGGAACAGATTTCATGCTAGCCAATCGGTAACTGCCATTGCAGTGGTGGCAAAATATTATGGCACCGAATGAAATCAAACTGAAACATCATTACAAGAAAAATCAACAGCTTATATCAAACCAGTGAGCCAAGTTAGGGATCTCTATACAAGTAAACAAACGGACATTTATAACATTTTATTGCCCGGCATTATGCCTTGGTGCCCGCCTATTAAAGATATATCTTCGTTTATCTTCCTGGCCTCCTTGCTCTTTACGGCGGCAATATAAAGGCGCGGTATTAGAGAAATCGTAGAGCTGTTTTATTATTAATGCCTTTACTTATTTTTATTCTATTCATTTTGACACTATTTCGGACTTACGTGGGAGTTTTGTCTTCTTCGGTTTAATGTATGTGACCTTCGATCCTCAACCTATTTGCTTTGTTTGAAACGGTCGCGTTTATTAGTGTTAATCCTGGTAATTTGTTACGTTTAATTCTAGCGTCTTGTAGTAAACGGACATAAACGCGACCGGTTTTACATAAATCACCGGCCCAGCGTCCTCAGGTAGGGGACACAGGCGCGTTGGACCCACCGGGATCTTGCAAGACAACACTCTACCCAATTACCCACCCACTTATAAATAATATAAACCTATTAGTTGGAACTACGAGCATGTTGAAATCAGCACAACGCGTAAAACTGTGGTAGGGCCAAGCCATAGACTTCTCTGTTGCACGAATGGGCAGGTCCGTCCGGGAAAGTACCACAGCCTCACGAAATACCGGCGTGAACTAGAAGTGACTTCTGCTTTTCATCTGCTGAGCAAGATAGCCGGTTCCCACTTTATTAAAAGGTTGCAACGCATCTGTAACCCTACAGCGGGGGTTGCAAATGTCCATAGCATTAGGTGAACCGCTAGCTCGTTTGTCACCTTCTCACATAAAATAAACATGATTCACCCTCATTTCAAGTAGGAACTACTCTCACCGCCCCCAGTCACCGTTTAACACCGTCAACGGCCATCGCGGTCGCGGTCCGTACAAAACCTCGATAGTCCGTTGGTGTCATAATTATTTTCCGTTTTAGATGATGCACGCATGAGCACATGCGTGGCCCTACCCACAATGTAGGGTCGTATTAAGCTCGTGGGTTTTGTCTAGTTATTTGCCCCGTCATTGGCTTCAAATAAGCAATATAAAACTATTTAAAATCAATACATTAAACTTGGGATTTTTAATATTCTTCTTATAACTCGAGGAAGTGTTATTAAATAATTTACATTTTACAATTAAAAGTGGTCCTGGTACTCAAATATGTCGAATCCGTTTTAGGAGTCGAATTTAAAATTATAAGCAGAAAATTAAAAGAAGTTCATTACAGGAACCTTCCGGCGTTAGGAGACTTCCGCCGCCTTACTTTTCGAACAAAGGCATTGAATTACGAACATTACTTTCATAACAGCGTCCAGTTATATCCGGGGCTAAAATTAAACTCTCGTCCGAGGCAGCCTCAATCCCGGGCTTTCCGGGAATTAAGCCGGGATTAGTCACCTCCGCGACGCGCGGGATTACTCACGGAACAATATGGCGGTCATCCCGCGACTTTGTACCGGAGTTACGAGCTTTTATTTCGCGCCCGTCCTTTGAATTAATTGCTAAATGTTTCTCTGACGTCCAAAGTCTTTACATGATTTTTATTATAAGAATAAAGATGAATTTCAATTATAACAAATATATTTTTAAATTATTACAAACAATGAAATAATTATGTTTTTAAATTATTACAAGGAAAAAAAAAATGTAATACATTGACAAGTGTTTGCAAGGGATATGATTTTAAAACCCGTGTCTTATATACACGCTATGTGGCTATGATACATCTATCCCGTCGTGCAATGACGATAAATACCTTCAACTTAACTGCCTTTTAACGATTTCAATAAGCGGTAAGGTTAAACGCAAAGACAGCTCGTTGAAAATTCAAAGAGGAAGTTTTATAAACCGACTCCACGTTGCCACAACGTCGTCAACGCAATTTCCGTAAACGTTAAAGTGTCAAACGTGGTACATTCAAAGTGAACCTTAAAATTGAGCACTTGGTACATTAAGAGCGCGTCGCGTATCAAATGCCTTGCTCATTTTTAACTGCATACTAGTTGTGGCGTGTGTTTCAAAACGTGTTCGCAAACGTTTTCATTTCGAAAACGGCTCGTCGGTTTTTTTTTTGTTTCATATGCGACTCGACGAACGTACAAAGAGTCGCTCCCTCTGTACGGCATTTGTGCGTGCTCTAATTCGCTTTAAACTAGTCTCCTCAGCCGTAGCGCTTAAATGGATCGCTCGCGCATCGACCGCAAAGCACGGTTATCGCTTTGTTGTACGTGTTCCGACTGCCGCGGCTTATGAAGCCCTGGTGTTTTTGAGTTCGTGCTATGCCGTAATCCGTTATGCCCGTGGGTAAATTTGATTTAAACACACAAGAAGTGTATATAAAATTGTGCGTATTCTCTTTAATTTGAATTCGCTGGCACTTGGCACCGAAATTGAAACTCGAAAAGTGAGTCCTCATCATATGAGTTGTTAACACAGGAAAAGAAGAAATAGTTAGTTGTCAAGCGAACAGGTGGTTCACCTGATGTTAAGTGATTACTGCAAGGGGCATAGACATCAAGAACACCAGACAGATTGCAGATGCGTTGCCAACATTTAAAAAAGTGTGCTTCCGTGCTTCACTTTGGCCTTCTGTGTGACCGCGGTACTTCCCTTGCAACTGTGTCAATGACGCGTAATTTTACTTGTTTTCTAAAGAAATTCTTTTAATCAACTGACAACAACACTGTTTTAATTTTTCGTTTAGTAGTTTGACGTCGTTTGCAGATTAATTATGAAGTCAGCTCCCCCGGCTTTCATAAAAAGCGTCTTAACAAGTGCGAACTTCTTTGATTTTGCCTGAGGCATTTTGTATCGTCAAAGGCTCAAAGGTGACAACAATGTTTAAGCTTAGTACTATTCGATAGATGTCGCCGTTTATACTATCTATTATGTAGCACGTAATACTTAGTTTCAATTGCACTATATAGAATACATTTGAACTGTAATAATGGTATTTTTCATTGAAAACAAACCTGTTTGTATTGATTTATCTATTATTGTATTTATTAAATAAAACTTTGTGTTAATGAATAACTTTTGAAAAACGATTCGTCTGTAAAAGAATCGGTATAAAATTTTGTATATCTTATTTTTTTATCAATCAGCTTATATAATTTTTTAACACTACCAGAACGGTCTATTCTATCCTTACCAACGATAGTATGGTTAGATGTCACACGACTATTCAGTTAATTTCTCGGTTTGATCTCCACTGAATTGTTAATTCGGCGCAATGTCTAATTCAAGGCATCCCAGTTTAAGGGGTTATCCAGACGAATTAAATATTCAAGCGGATATATGCTTGCCTATATTGTATGACTTTCGGGACGTCCATACATTCGTTTTAAGTGATTATTGTTTCTGCTTTGTGAATAGGCTATAAGAGTATGTTTATAGGAATTTTCTCTATACACACAATTCTAAAATCCCTTTCAACTTCATTCTTGGAAAGCGATTCAATTTAGGTTCAACAATGATTTATTTACACTAAAAATATTAAAAACATTAAGGTAAAGATGAACACAACTTGCATAAAATAAAAGATTAAAAAAGCAACCTAAATTAACTGCTTTTAACTACAACTCCAACTAATAATTTAGTATTTACAGAACTACTATATAATATACTCCCTACATATAATATACATTTCTAACCTGAAACATTTGAGCTTGGAGTGGGTGACTCAGTACCTAAATAAGGTGGAAATTGAAAATGGGGGATCCAGACTATGATATAAATGGAAAATGGTGATGGAATAAGTTTAATTAACCTCATAATTTGTTCCAGACCTCCTCATCGAGATGCTTGGCGTGCTGGCCAGTTACAGCGTCACAGTCAAGGAGCTAAAGCAGCTTTTCAATGCAATGAAAGCAGTTAACGGCAAATGGGTAAGTAACAACGATATTATTGAACAAAGTACTGGAAAGTTTCACGTCGAAAAAATATCCAACGTGATCAAAAGACCGCCTCAATGAAAAGGGTGTCAAAACCTAAAGCTGTCCTACCGTTCAGAATACAAACAACAAAGCAGATATTGCGTATTCATTGCAGTTTTACCGACTCTCCGCTGTTACGATGCAAATTTTAAAAGCTGCAACGCCACCCATTTTCCGCTTTTACTCATCGCTCTCGTATTCGTTCGGAGTATCTCGATATACTCTCAACGGTTTATGTTGCCCTGGTAGTATTGCGTGGGCGAAATTATTTAAATTAAAAACCTGCTTTATTTTATAATTTGATGCCGTCTTAAAATAATTTTTATTGACCACAAACAAAAGCTTGAAAATGTTGCTGATTGATTGTTTATACGTTTTTTTAACTCAAACTTTAAAAATGTTTTTAAATTACTTTTATTTAGGAGTACGATGATGTGTTTTACACATTTTGTTATTAATGACGTTTAACGATTCTCTTTGTACCTTTTTGCGTTTTGGAACTTTGCGTCGAAACCCAAATTCGGGCGAAATTTGCTAAAGTTAGAATTCGTTACCTTCGTTCCATTCTCAGAATTTCCAAGTAATTACGCCGGCGCCTTTTAAAAGTTGCCCATAACTGGGATAAAGTATCGCCCGTTTCAAAACTCCACGCTCCTAAGAGGTATTTCTGAAACGGCGAATACATATTAAGGTTTAACGACAGAAGAGCCAGTGAACCGGCACTAAAATGAACATTATAATGTGCTTCGAGAAAACTAACCTTCTTTAGGCAGACATGTTACACAAAATTTGACGTTAATAATAATTTTATTTGAGACTAATTCCACGACATTAAAAGTAGAGGATTCATAAAGTTTAATATATGTTATGTATTGATATTATATGGTGTTTATAAACACACAGAAAATATATATATAGATACATTTGAAGACATGTCAGATTAGATTAGAAATTTATCCTTCAACCTTTGAACAAGTCACAGAGAGTGGAAAGAAATGCTCAAAGAAGATGTCGTCTAAAGTTGTGACAGGATATATTATTTTTGTCTCAACGCGATAACCCTGGAATTCTGAAATAGTAAAAGAATAGTAAGCAAATATTTTCTTTCCGCATCAGACTTCAATCTTAGGCAAATTCTAGACATTTATTTTTATATCCTTTTCCAAGAAATGGCTTAGTACGATGTTCCACGAAATTTCCCTCGAAGAAATTCGTTTAAGCGTATTTTTGATTTGTAATCCTTTTTTAGTACAGTTTTATTTATAGTTCTAGTCAGAGATGTGACTTATTTAAGATACAAGTATCTGAAATACAGATACAAGATACAAAATACAAAATACGTATTTATATCTTGTATTTAAATACCTTTTGTTTGGTGTCTTAGTACCTTCTAAATACTATGTTTGTTTAAATCCTTTTAGTAATAGTTATCAAAGCATTTATACACAAAATGTGACAAGATTTTATGGTGATATTCCAATTAAAAAATAGCCTATGTCCTTTCTCAGGCTCTAGACTATCTGTGTAACAAATTTCATTTAAATCAGTTCAGTAGTTTTGAAGTAAAAGCGAGACAGATAGACAGAGTTACTTTCACATTTATAATATCAGTCTGGATTAATTTTAAATGTCACCATAGATAAAACGGAACGCGCCGTTTACCCGCTGAAACTTTAGTCTAGGTAGGTAGCGGAATGCAGCTATGTTGTCGTGTTGTTGTTATTGTGGTCCGTATTAGCTTTGCCACAATTAAATTCCATGCTTGTTCCAGCCCCGACACTCTGCCAAGTTACTCAACGTGCTTCGACAGATGCCACACAGGAACGGACCGGACGTGTTCTTCAGTTTCCCGGGCCGCAAGGGATCGGTGAGTGCATCTTGTCCTTTTGTGTGGTAGATACCTTCATGTGTTGTAACCTCGCTGCAACTTCTGCCATCCCATGGAGGGGTCGATTTGATCGAGGAACTGCCACGCCCTTAGCGTTTGCCAGCACATAATAGAAGTCATCATATTTATTCGTTTCTTCTATGAGATATCGGAGAAGACCCCTTGAATTAAAAACTGCCTGTACACTATGTGGGTGTGGCACAATCAGGCTGCAAAGGAACAGTGTGGGGGAAGACTGCTTTGAAGTAGTAATATTTCTCCTTGTACGATGGTTGTTTTTTCCTCTCGCCACATGTAATAAACGACCGAAGTAAAACTACATATGAACATAAAAAGTCTTTATTGTATTGATTTACGAAAAAAATTTAAAAGTTAATTTACTGAATATTAAGTATTTTTTTTAAAGAAAACATTCTTAAGTAAAAATACATAAGGAGTAAAGATGTTTACAGTTACTGCGTTTATTAATGTGAGGAAAATAAGGCAACATAATTATGTCATCAACAACATCACCAAATAAACATTATAGAGTACATATATACGCAAAAATATGTCTCTCTATTTCTTTAAGATTTTGTTGTTACTACTTTGATAACTAATAAATTCCAATTAGCGTATAAAAATAATTCTTTTTTTATTGATATATTCATAACGTACGTAAGTAGTAACAGAGTACATAATTATAACAGAAAATACGAGTAATAAGCCAATTTTTGTGCTTTCAATTAAATGTTAAACTTATTCCTTCGTTTACCCTCGAAAATTCTAACCATGGCATTTAAGGCTTTGTATATTTATTATATTTTATTTTCTCAAAGCATCTATGAGATTGCTAAGGAATATTATTGCGAGGAAAAAGATACAAAAAGGAAAAAAAAATCAGTTGGAGGCGCCGGGTATCGATCCCGGTACCTCTCGCATGCTAAGCGAGCGCTCTACCATCTGAGCTACGCCCCCTGTTACGGTGTAAGCCGAAATTACCCTATAGGTTCTGATCGCAAAGCCGTCGGTATTTGCCTATAAACTTCTTCAGTAACTTATTTATTAAATACAAACGAAATATAAGTGTTAGATATATTTTAATAACATTTGTTGAAGTATTTATTTAGTATTATTTTTATTATATAATATTATTTTTATTAGTATGTGAATTTCGTACACTGTTTAGTGACTCAAGAAACTATAAAAATAATGTTGTCTTCCGCATATGCTGTTTGCAATAAAACGAAATGCCATAATTTGCGAAATATGCAAGCTGCAGATTTGCTTACATTGGGTTGGATAATTTTAATGAAATGTCTAACTATTAATAACTTTTTTTTATAGTAAACGCCTATCCAATTCCAAGGTTTCAAAGTTCATACTGGTATTCCTTGCTGCATAAAAAATGCCAGGCGCAATTTTAACGTAAGCAAGATTTAACTCTGACCCTGTTTATAATATTCTTTTAACAAGGTTTATTGTATTTAATATAATTCAATTTTTTACAACTGTTGCTGGTTGTGTCCTAAGCTATCTAAATTTATTACTCAATACGGAACACACATGTAGAAAATGCGAAATAATTTTCGACACTGGGATACTTATTTATAACATTTTCATTGCGATCGATACATGATCTGTAAATCTCAACAATAGGACTTTTTTATGTGAGGTGGTGACAAACTAGCTAACGGTTTTGCAAAGTGACATTTGCAACATCCGTAGGGTTCCAGATGCGTTCTCACCTTTTAATAAAGTGGGCCCCGGCTACCTTACTGACCAGACGAAACTCAGAATTATGTATGACACTCCCACTTCACGTCGGTCATCTCTTTGATAGTGGTAGTTACCCGAACAGACCTAGACCATTCGTGTAATATTCAAGAATATTGCGTGGCTCTATCACAGTAGTAAAAGAACATTTAAAAAATACCCCCCTCATCTCAAAATTTTGCATTGCGATAAGCAACGGCCGAAGGATTAAACCGTTAAATAATAATTGATTCGGAGAAACTCCGTCGAATCGCGTCGTCAGCCATCCATTAGCGAGATATTTTAATTAGCAAAATTTGGTAGAGGCAGGCGGTCGCCATTGTTCGATAAATTGCCCAAAACGCTCGCTAAAGGGTCGAGTTTTAATAACTCGCCCTCTCGAGGGCGGGGACTCGAGAAATGAATGCCGAAATGGAGCCGGTTATAAGAGATTTATCAACAGTTTTTCCGCACCAACGTTAAGGAGAAGGGGATTAATTATTTTGTAAACCGTGAGGAGCAACCCCAGTTTGAAATAAGGGTAGATACATGATTTACATCATGTATTTTTGTTTTTTTCGTCATAAACACGTCAAAAAGATAGTGCACACATAGTGACACTCATCCTACATAGCCAATCGACGGTTCAATCACGTTTGGAATTATAAATCTTTATATACTCCTTTTTGGAAGAGATTTTTAATCGTAAGATTTCTTACAAGTTGTAAATTGTTATTCAAGTGACATGTATCCATTTTATTTGGTATAACGCAAAATGCAGCATTAAGAGAAATGCATAAACAACTGTTTGTAACCACTAAATTGCCTTGTCTACAGACTTCACCCAAATCGTTTTCCATTAGCCGTGCCCATCCACCACCTGCTCTTTAGTAATGCCCACTGTCTACGCGTGAAATACGAGTTCGGCCAGTCGTGAGGTAAAGAATTGCACATCACTTGGATTAAATTAAGGAAATACATTCGCTCGCCCGAAATGGTGCAGTAAATAAACACAGACACAGAAAAGGAAAGATAGCGAAGAAAGAACACATTGAAAGATGGGACAATATTATTTTATAAATTCTTATTAACTTTAACAACAAGCTTTGAAATCAGAAGAATTATCTAAAGTATGTAAAAGCTATTTCCACCTTTGGTAGAATTGAACCCGCAGTCCACGACGTCGAAGCTAATTAACGAAAAGCCGTCATTTTATTATTAAATTCGACGACCCGAATGGCGTAGTGGGTAGTGTACCTGCCTCCTGCGCCAGAGGGTGTGGGCTCGATCCCCACTACTGGAAAAATATTGTGTGATGAACATAGTGTTTTTCTAGTATCTGGGTGTTTATATATGTATAATATGTATTTATTTACAAAATAAAAGTATGTTTATCAGTTAAAACTTGTAGAAAAATTACGAAAAGATTGTTATATCCTTTCCAGCATACAAACAATTTCGAATGTCGTTTTACAACGATAACTTCGAACGAGAGATGTCGCCATTGCTTTATGTTTATCAGTTTTCTAGTACCCATAATACAAGCTTTGCTTAGTTTGGGACTAGAGAATGTTGTGTAAAAATGTGTCCTAAAATATTTATTATTTATAAATCAAGTAACGAGAAATATGCTATTTAGAGATCGAGTTTAAAAGTTTAAATTAATGCTTTAGTATTTTGTTAATTTTTAAACATGATTTTTGCTTCTTTTAAGGCAGAATGTCATCTTTTCAATGCTATTTATTAATACAATACAATAAACTTAATACAGAAGAAGCCTAATTACATTACAATTCTTTCTGCCACACCAGGAAATGCCTCAGATTTCACGATTATATCACTTTTATGATTTAGCACTCATTTAATTCAGTTGTAAAATTCTAAAAAGTATTTATGGCATAGGATTATCGGTTAAAAGCTCTGAAATTCAGATGAAGAATCCTGAAGATATCCTTATTCCCAACTAAGTAAGCTCGGCTTTACACATTTTTTACTGAGAATTTGAACTATCGATCAATCGACTTATCAAATAGTCTAGTTATGTAAAATCAATATTTGTAATAAATGCGATGAATCCCTAAAAATAGTTTCATTTAATAATGGTCTAGCCATCGGCAAAATTTACGCGCCATTCCCGCCATCGTTTCGACTCCCCTGCTGCCATATAACCGATTAGTAATGGTCTAGTCATCGGTATAAGCGACTCTTACTGCCATATAACCAATGGAAGTTACACAAATTAAACCGAGCATCGACCGATTTCATTATGGACGCCGTTGTGCCAAACGCCCGCCTCTTCGCTTGAAATATCGCCACAGTGTTCGACGCCAAGTTTTGCTCTTTCCCGTGTGGAATTTAATTCGAACCGCTCGCTTCCGAGGCGGCCGAATCTAGTGTCAATTCTTCTATAATGACCTCCCGAAGGTAATGTCGCCGCTGCTCTCGGAAAGTTTCGCTTTCAGATCGGATATAACTGCGCTCGGCTACATCTAGCGCAGTGCTGGTGGCAAGCCAAGTTTTAAAGAAGACAGAGCCTAGGCTAGTGTTCTAGTAGTAGTAACAGAAGTAGTGCTTGAATAGATTGCAATGGCTTCCGCTGTTGCAAAGATGGGCAGGCTCGTCGGAGGTAATAATAGTTTTTTTGAGTTTTGTCTGTTAATCGAGGTAACTGTGACTAATGAGTTTTATGGATTGGCCACACACTTGAAACTCTTCCGTCGTTGTAGATTGTCCATGAGTGGACAAAGATTTCACTTAAAAATATTAATTTCCAATTTGTAATGACTGCGTCTCAGCGGATGGTGGTTTCTATTTGCACATACTCCCGGTATTTGTGTACTTGCACAGCATTATTGCTTCGGATCTCTTTGTTTGCCCACGTGTGTTACTCGTGTGTTTGAGTCTATGAAATGCTTTCGATAAGCGTTAAGCGAACAATTATGACAGCAACGGGTCAAGATCATATTGACATTTAAATACTGTTGCTATTTTACTTTCTCCATAATAGCTTGTATCAAAAATTTAACAAATCAAATATCGTCGTTTTCAAATATTTGCCGCTTCTTGTTTCATATTAATTTTGTGTGCCTTATTTGATCCAATATCCTTTTACTGAAGCAAGAATAAAGCTTTAGAGGGAATAATAAAATATTCCCTATAATGAAGCATTATTCTTGCTTTAGTTAATATCTGAACATATTTTGGATCCTGTCTTTCAACTTTCTAAAATCTTATTTCTTCATTAAGAATGTATTTTTTTATTTAACATAGTAGAACTGGATTTCAAATAACAACTTTTTAAACGCAGATATTCTCAACGTTGAAATTATTGTTTTCGTGCCTCAGAGTTTGAGAAATTCTTAATGGTTTTGTTTATATTACATATTTATTGAACATTTTCTTATGTGAGAAGGCGGGTAAAGAAACAGGGGGTTCACCTGATGTAAAGCGATGACCGGCGCCCATGGACATTTGCAACACCCGTAGGGTTGCAGATCGTTGCCACCTTTTAATAAAGTGGCATCCGGCCACCTCGCTCACCAGACGAAACGCAGAAGTATGACTTCACGTCAGTCTTCTGTGAGGTCGTGTTACTTACCCGGAGGGTAGGCTCTCTAAATCTGCCCATTCGTGCAACAGCGAAGACTGTTGCGTGGCCCTACCATATTTAAGTACTAAATTATTATTGTTTTTTTAATAGTTTTTAACCTTTCTTTGAAAAAACGTATTATTATAGAAAAACTGCACTTTGTTACCGTAAAACTTTGCGCTTACCGCATATCGATACCAGGCGAGCAGGACGCCTTGGGGGTGCCGTTTAAGCGGCCTTATTGGCAATTCTTATTCAAATACGGGCCGGCGAGCGTAATCCCAGTGACATACTGGGTTATCCGCGTGTCCGCCTTTTTCCTCCTTATTTATCGCGGTCCCGCCCCGGGGGTCGCTCCATTTCTCTCTGTCGCGCTTATCCGCCGATCTGACGGCGAACTGACGTGTCTTAGCCGCGTCTGCTCCCCTGGTTAATACCGCGAGGTTAACCGTATGAGTTATTTGCTTTTCTTTACTGATGAAATGGTCGTATTTATTGTTTTTCACCTTCTTAGGTTACATTAAAGTTTATATTTTTACCAGCTTACCCGCCCCAGCTTGGCAACCATATGAATTTTATTTATTCACATAATTATGAGAATAGATTATAGTACACAGACTCATATTAGTTAAGATCCGTGGCTTTACACTTGTGGTTCTTATTGGAAAAACTGATACTTCCGCCTAAATTTTCACCAGCCATTTCCTCCCCTTTATCATCATTATTTAAGCCTGTTCGAGTCCACTGCTGAACACATGCCTCCCCCACAGACTGCCACGGAGCACGATCCTGAGCCACCTGCATCCATCGACTTCCTGCACACTTGCACAGGTCCTCACTCCATCTAGTGGGGGTTCGTCCCACTAAATGATTTCCCCACCTTAAAATCTGAAAATCCAGAGACTCTGAAACTCATCAGTATTTGTTTATCCTCCTGTTGCTGTAATTAAATTTCACTTCAATGTCGATGTTCTATGTCGAGTCGTCATATAGTTCCATTATAATATTACTTTATATGAACATACATAAAAAATACATACAGTTGAGACATAAACCCTCCTGCTTTTTTTAAGTCGGTTAAAAATTGACTACATCTTTAATATATGCACAATCAACCACACAATCGTTGAAAATTTTAAAAAATATATAAAAATACGCATGAGTTTAATTCAATAATGTTTGTTTCAGCACTCACTTAGCTTGTATCTTGTATCTTATTTAACTGATGTTTGTGCTTTCAGTCCCGAGACTATTAAGCTTCATCTGACGCAGAACCGGTGGGCTAGCCAGAACCCACGGGTTTGGGCCCTCCGCTGTGGGTAGGGCCGCGTGGCATGGCAAACAAATTCTAACCTAACGTTTACATGTCAGTTCTATAAGCTTTGTGATGGGCCAATGGCCTTTTGGTTTTTACTTCAAACGGGATAAAATGACAATTAGCAGTGCTTTTTGCAAATTTAATATCTCACTATTATCACCTAGAGCCTATAGCCGAACTTTTAATCAGGTAGCTACTCTTTTTTTCCAAGTCGACTCGAAGCAAGTGCAGCTCCTATTCTATATTGTTCATGGTTTATGTTGTTCTTTCAAGATATTAATATATATGTTTACACGAGTTATTCTCATTCTTTGTAAATATTCAACGTTACAGCTGGGCAATTAAAACGAGGCGCACCTACCGTGCTCAGCTATTTCATGCTTCCACTTTCCTTTTTGTTTCTCGCAGGGAACGCGACGTCCGGTGCAGCGGGCTTTGCATCGACATTAGGTCTAAGACAAACGCCTGAGCTTTCCAGTACATATTTTGTAATAAAAAAGATGAGGAAGTCGTAAAAAAACGGCATAAATAAACTTGTTATGACTAGAAAGTTAACTCATAATCTCTAACATATGATGACTTAGCAGCTAATTGAAGATTATTTTATTGACGAAATAATTAAAAAAAAAAATTAAATAGAATGCAGTGAGACATGTAGTGGACAATTGATTGAAGTACTCAATAAATCGCTTCAGTACTCAGTATCTCCACTAATTTTTAATGTCATTATAATAAGAGAATATTTTTAACAGTTTTAATGTTGTCACTAAACAAAAGCTGCACTACCACTGATAAACGGAATGTATTTTTATTATTAACTAGTAGAAAGTTTTTGGGTGAAAATGTCAATATGAGTGTGAAAAAAGAATTGAAAGGTTAACTATACGACGTGAGAATCGTCAGAAAGTTGTCCCGCTTTTGTATATAACTGTGATATGTATAAGATAAGATAATTATTTGTTAAAAATTCTTTATTTAAATACGGTGAAATTGTTTTAAGTAATATGTGGATATGAGAAAGTCTAGTAACCTAATTCATTAACAAGGTTGGAGGCTAGAAATGGCAATGTTATACAACTAAAACATTTTCAGGAACCGTATCAATGAAATGAATAGTGGATCACATGAAAGCCGAACCGAATCTATTATTGCAAAAAGGTTAAAATCGGTTCATAAATAATAATAATATTTGTTTATTCACTCAACTAATTTTACATAATAACTAACACTATTTAAAAGTAGCATCAATTACATTGAAATGCAAACGTCGGCAGCCATACTAGTATAAACTGTGTCACGGCTGCCTGCGTCTCCCACTCAGAGAATACATTAATTTAACCTTATATATATATATATAATATAAATGAAAGAGGTCTAAGGTAACAAACATAAGCATACATACAACGGAATTGAGGACCTCCTACTTTTTGAAGTCGATTCAAAATGACGAAATTGGTTTATATTTGAAATTAATCGTCGTTCGAGACCGCTCATTTTATAAGGTATAAAAGCCTTCGAAAATCACGATGTATCTGCAAAGGGCTCTCTATTCTGTATACTGTATTCAAATGCTGTATCTTCGTAGAGTTCAACGCTGGAGTCACAAGCGCCTGTAGCTAAATAGTTATCTTCGGACCGTTCGATGTAGTGATAAAAAGGGCTTTTACCCTCAAAGGGTGCTCCGATATTTTATCTCAATTCCCCACTTTCCGGCCTTTATCGAAGCCCATCCATATCTTTGAAACGTGCGCTTTTAAAGGCCTTTTCTTTTTACACGCCTGTGGTACGAGCTAAGTTGAAATTTGAAATTTAAAGTTGAAATTTAACGCCAACTTAATGTTCGCTTTAACCGTCCTTTTCTGGCGTGTTTTAACTATTTTATAGTCTACTAGTAGAAGAGTTGTACACGAATACTCCTAAACTTGTACAACTGTAATTTCAGAAAGATTTCCCGAAATTAATACAAAAATCCAGGCGTTTTAAAGTTGATAACCGTTATTGCTATTCAGTTTTGATACTAGAACAGTACTTGAGTAACAAACTGGTAGAGTAGGCCGGGTACATATATGAAGCGGTGATTAATGCACGTCAACATGTTGCTGGAATTGACTACAATAAATTGATTACAATTTAATTAATTAATTTTATTATTGCAGAAATGAGATCCAGGATCTTGCACTCCCTAAGATATGATTTGTTTTTGTAAGTCACTTTTTGTCGACATGATATACTCTTAAAATGTTTACAAGAAACAATAGACACTAGTAAAGAAATGCTCGTAAGAAAATTACCAGAAAAGCTTATTTAAAAGCGAAGAAGTCACATACAACCACCTGACAGCCTAGTCGAAAAGCAACTTATAATATTGTTAGGAAATAGAAACGAAGATTGATTTTTTAAAAAGAACTTATTGGCCAGTATGCCAAACTTAACAGAAGTTTCACTACAATTCTAAGTAACCGACACAATCGTTATTAATTCGGGTAGAGCTTCCGCACTCTACAACGGCTGATGAGAAAGTCTCCTGACACGGCGAGCGCTGCTCCGTTTATAGGCCGTCGCAGTGTGCTACTACCCTCCTATCTTCTAACAATATAATAATAGGAAATAACGAAATAAGAATAATTTATTCAAGATTGACTCCGAGTAGATTTCGAGGCTCGCATTAACTTGACCCCACAACCCGTAACAGAGTTAATAAAGGGTAAAATATTTAACTAGTTTTCGCCTTGATTTAATACGAAATTAGCGCGTCTCTGAATTAGTCGATATTTCAAAGATATATACCACGGTTTCGTCTGAACCTCGCACCGCTGATGCGATCGAACTTTTAGCGACTTATTCAGTTTTATATAATTAAGTATACAAAATCTTAACTATTTGTGTAATGTAAGCATTGAGCTGTCTCCAATAGTGACAAACTTTTGTCACATGCTCAAACAAACATACGTATACGGATTTTAATATTGCTAGTATTCGCATTCGAACGAATTTATCATCATCATCATTACAGCCTGTTAGAGTTCATTGCTAAACATAGACCACTGTCTAACTATCACGGTTCATAGGATACAGCCTGGTGACACACTGATAGACGGACAGACTGTAACGTGACACTAAAAGCGACACCATCTTCACGGAGTTACCGTGGCAACCGACAACTTTTTGACATTCACCTATAATTTCTATCTGTTTAATTAAACCGTCATCAAATGCCTTTGATGCCTTTTTATCGCGAATCAAAAGTACTGGAACACGGGATAAAACTTCTAGTTGTTTTTCTTGTTACGTTAAAGAGGTAGAACTTCTTACACGCATAATTACACACACAGGATTTTTTTTGACTGACTATAATAATAACTATGCGTATTCTACATTTCGAAAACTAAACATTCTAATAACATGTTGCATATCTCCCCACAACTATATGAAAACTGGCTGAAAGTACTAATTTAATTAGTAGAACTGTTTCTAGTACCTTCCGTTCGATTTGTGAATTTAAAAAAAGCCCAACTTCTTGAAGGTTGCAAAGCACTTGTAACCCCATCCTCGATAATAATCACCCGAATATTGTTGGTAATAAATCTAAGTATTCAGGTGAACCCTTTGTTAATTTCGTTACGATGTAACAAGAAATCTCTAATTGCTATTCCTTGTGCCCACCAGCCCTACACTTCAATGAGTTATTCGATTTTAAACAGTTATAAAACCGCCTCTCGTTCCCAACATTTTCATAATTTCTTTTAAATGAAATCCAAATAAGTTCGAAGTTTAAAAATCTCGTATCGCAGTAAAGTAAATATGGGAAATTTATTAGCGCTGTATATGTAATTTATGCTTATAAGCCTTGTCGGGCGGAGTTTTTATACCGGTTTGATCAATCACCAACTGTCGTTTCGTTGACATGTTTAGTTTTGACTTAGAGCCTGGGGGTCTGTATGTGTAGAGAAGTGTGATAACTCTTCTGTCCCTTCGCCACGTTTCGTAACTTCTTTCCGATCAGAAGGTCAGAGCCGCTTCGACAACATCGACCCAGATATTGGCATGCCTATGTTGTATCTTACACATTACGTATATTAGATATCTATTGACGTTGTTTTTTTTTTATTTAGTTTAACTTGTGATGCTCGTGCAAGCCCGTTAGAAATTTTACTATAAACATAAACAACGTAACAATTTGCACATCTTTCAATCACTTCGGAAGCATATAGACACCTAGATATCCAAGTCAGAACCGTGTCTAATAAATTTATAAATGAAGAATATGACAATGAATTTTTAAAACTGTGGTTCGAACTGGCATCTAAAATCGTGAAACCTACATTCCAGTCGCTTGTCCGTCTCTCTCACTACTTCTTTTAGCTGTACAGTATCTTTATTGCGGCAAATCTTTACTGCTTATGTTATTTGGCCACGAAACCGTCGTTTCCCGCAATACAAGCCCTTAAATCCCAGATAGGGCGGGCAATAACACAGCCGTATGTAGATTTATTGATACCGAACCGTCGGAGGAGGGATTTTACGCGAGTATACCGCTAGGGCCTACTCCGAAGCTTGAAATAAGGCTCGTAGAATATTGTATACTGCTCGCGAGGGCTCAATCTCAAATAGAGTACCGAAAAACATTCTTATATGATGAACAATTTTTAAATACTACGAAGAATGTAAATGCAGTTATGATTAGTTTTCTTTTTAATTGCTACTCTCTGCACTCAAGATAAAACTAGAAATGTGAATGTTTGTAGATAAATAATTAAAAACAATTGGCGCACATATGCTTCACCTAATAAGCTAACATTTTATTTAGCTAAAATAATTAAATTAAAAAGTCTTTGATCAAGCGTGGTTCACTTACTGTATACTTTCACTGTATTAGATCATTCTAGAAAACACTCGGCAAGAAAATTTCAGTGTTGTGTTTATATAAGTACGTTTGACACATCTTGGTTCTCAATCTATCGTCGTATGTTATAATAAGCCCATTCAATTGGGGTCGTTTTACAAAAGTCGATGATCATTTTCAACAACTCTACCACTGAGTTCACTTTCGCACGATAACTTTTTGTTTTTATCAACACTGTAATTATCCTTAAATACAGCGCTACTCGTGAGGAAACCTGCATATTTTCGAGGTGACAAAAAAAAAGATTTCGAAGATATGTGAAGTCCTCCAATCCGCAGTGGGGCGCGTGGACTATGCCCTGATATCCTCTTTGCAGAGGAGGCCTTTGCCCAGCAGTGGGACAGTTATAGGCTGTTACTTTTAACTTTAACAGCGCTTCATGTCGGAGCAGGCCAGCGTCTACTGTATCATCTAATGAAATATGTGTTAATTCAACATACAATCTCTTGCAGGCCATCGTCCTGCCACCCCTGGCCCGGTGGCCCTACGAGAACGGGTTCACGTTCACGACGTGGTTCCGCCTCGACCCCATCAACTCGGTCAACATCGAACGGGAGAAACCCTACCTGTACTGGTAATGAAACACGCGACTTGTTTTTCAATTGTACTCATCATCGGTTCCAGACGGAAAAGTTTTTTTTTACTTTTTATGCGAGCTGGCGGCTCACCTCATGTCAAGTGATGACCGCCGCCCATGGACATTTGCAACACCAGTAGGGTTGCCGAATTTAAAGAAAATGGGCCCCGGCTTTCTCGATCAGACGAAACGCAGAAGTATACCACTTCCACTTCGTGCCGGTCTTCTGTCAGGTTGTGTTACTTCCACGGACGGACCTGCACGCTCGTGCAACAGCGAAGACTATTGCGTGGCCCTGCCACAGCATAGTGTATGAAAGTGAAATGCTTTTTATTCACGTCTAAATACGATTATCAAAATGTTGAAACTATATTTTTGTTACGGTCCACAGTAATTGACCACATGAAATACAAACTCGAGTAAGACGTATATTTACTGTCGGAAAAATAAATTGACAGATGTTTAAGTCTATAGCTTAAGCGAATCCCAATACTCGTATGTTTATATTAAAAAAAAACTTTACTTGAAAACGCATTAACGTTATTTTTCAAATCGTATGTAATTTGGCTTGTAATCATGAAGTAAACATAAAACACAAGCGCCTTGTTAATATTAGTAATGTATTACAGTGTACCTTTCAGTAAGCTAACTGAAAACTTTTCGTGTACGGAATAATGGAGGATGTGTCCGCGGGCGCTGTAGCTTTTCGACGAATACGTTATAATTTACATAATGCTGAAACTTGGCTCCACGGTCCCCATGAAATGGGGCGTATTTCTTGAGTAATTGAAGATTAAATTTTGTATTTTGTATAACTGATGTTACGCTTCCAGTCCTCAGACTATTAAAGCTTCATCGAACGCGTGAAAATTTAAAATGGCTGCTCGGAGAATACACAGCCCCACCGAGTGACGACGGAAAGTCGACGTATTTTTGTTCCGTCTTGTGTCTGAGGTAACTGGAGCCCACTCGCTGTAGACATAAATGTCAAGGCGGGCGGTAATCGCTTGACGTCAGGTCAACCGCCTACTCGCTTGCCGCCTTCTGAAACACAGGTACATCCAAACTTTATGTGTGGCAGGGCCACGTAACAGCTTCTGCTGTTGCACGAATGGGCAGCCTCGACCGGGAAAGTGCCACGTGCTCACAGAAGACCGGATTATACTTAAGCGTTTCGCCTGTGAGTGGGGTGACCGTGGACACCGCTTTCTTTTAAACGCACCTGCAAACAAGTGTTGTAGATGTCCATGGATGGCGGTCATTGCTTCTGGTGAACCGCCCCTAAGCTATTTACTTTTTATGTGAGAAGGTGGCAAGACCTCGTAGGGTTGCATATACGTTGCCTTTTAATAAAGTGGGCCACGGCTACCGCACTCTCCAGTCGAAACACAGAAGTATGACATTTTCACTTTACGTCGGTCTTCAGTGAGGTTGTGGTACTTACCCGGACGGACCTGCCCATTCGTGCAACGGCCGAAGTTGTTGCGTGGTCCTACCGTAAAAAGGTTAATAAAATATTAATAAAACGTTAATAAAAACAAAACTGAATAGAAGACACCGACGAGAGACAAATTAACATTATGTCTTCCAACTGGAAGGATGAAATTAAATACTAGTAAAGAGCAAGGATAAATAGATCGTAAATATAAACTTAACAAGCTGCAAATTAATTACAACAAATTCGCGTAATGGGCGCGCGCAGCGAAACAAATTGAATAACCCCAAAAAGTTTTTATTAATGAGAGTTAAAAGCAATATTTGACCTTTATTAGACGAGGTATTTCTAAGTTAATTAGCGAGGGGAAACTCACTCGGCCGTAAAGTATTTAAGCATTAAAATTAATTCTAATTACTGTTATTAAAACGTCGACCGTTTGAACTCTAATGAAATTTCCTTGGGTGTTATTAGTATACTAATAAGGCGAGACTTTCTTCTTTGTTGTACACAAACATGTTGCTGTCATTGGGTCTGAATAAGAAAAGTCAAAATTTTCTTAGTAAGTGAGAATACGAGATTCTTCGTCATTGTAATTATTTTTTAAGTTAATGAACAAATTACAGTCGTCATATTTTCTTAGTAAGATTAAGAAAAGATGTTACGTAAACTTTTGATTTTTGGGTTTGAAAATCGAATACCATACTTTTATTACTTATAAATTGTAAATGTTCAAATATATCAGCGTCTCCTGAATACTTCCTTGTTTATTTAGGTCATTTATTTATTTATTAATTTTTCGAAGTGGACATAGACAAATGATACGAGAGAGAGAGAGAGAGACAAATGAGAGAGAATATTATTTTTTTATCCATTAAAAAGTGGCATCGATCTGTCTTTGCTTAAGACTAACGATTACAAGTGTCAAGGAGACCAACAACGCTTATCGACTTTCGTTAGACAATTCAGTCTCTGTGAATAGAATATCGGGCTGCACATACATGTACACATGCATCGCATACATGTAGATGCATGTGTAGACATGCATCATATGCATTTACACGTGCATCAAGTATGTAACTTGTAATTACGAGTAAATTATTAAAACGGAAACTGTTTTAAAGATATCGCTCGTAACCTATTTGTGGGCTATATTCTGAGCTTGCATTAGAATGAGCGCGACGTGTTCCAGAAAGTTCTTCATTGGGCGATAAATAAGCACGCACTCATCGGAACGGTGTCGTAGCACGTGCAGTAAATCATTATGTTCATAAACAAATGTTGGTGCAGCTTCAAGACGAGCAAGGGCGTCGGCTACACGGCGCACTTCGTCGGCAACTGCCTGGTGCTCACCTCTATGAAGGTCCGCGGCAAGGGGTTCCAGCACTGCGTCAAATACGAGTTCCAACCTAGGAGGTGAGTGCCAACAACTTGTCTAACTGTGAGAAAAACCCAAAGATTTTTTTTATGTGAAAAATTGCCAAGCGAGCAGACGGTTCACATGATGTTAAGTGAATACCGCCGCCCGTGCACATCCGCTACACCCGAGGGTTGCAGATGCGTTGACAACTTTTTGAAAATTGGGCTCCGGCCACCTCACTCACCAGACGAAACGCGAAAGTATCATACATAAAATTTACGCTGGTCTTCTGTGAGGGCGTCGTACTTACCCGGACGAGCTTGCCCATTCGTCCAAAAGCCGAGGCTGCTGCGTGGCCCTACCACCGATAAACCTGTAATGATAGATACTCCGTAGTACCTCTATTGTATTACAAAAGAATAAGTGTCTTATTAAAATATGTAGAAAAAGTGCGAAAAGATTGTCGCCGTTGTGGGAATCGAACCCACGTCTTCGGCATTCGCGGCCTGACGCTCTAGCCACTGAGCTAAACGGCTTCGGTATTCTTCTACATTGTTTTTTTAGCATTTGAAGCAATGCTTGGCGCCATCTATTGTTATATCCTTTCCAGCATACAAACAATTTCGAATATCGTTTTACAACGATAATTCGAACGAGAGATGTCGCCATGGCTTTTTTTAGAAATTTAAATTGTTTATAGTGCTAATCTTTGCACTTAAGATTGAACATTAAAATATGTAGAAAAAGTGCGAAAAGATTGTCACCGTTGTGGGAATCGAACCCACGGCATTCGCGGCCTGACGCTCTTGAGCTAAACAACCACGAAAATTTAACGTATTCGTCTACAATTGTTTTAGAAACGGCGACTTTCGCCACTTTTTTTAGAAATTTAAATTGTTTATAGTGCTAATCTTTGCACTTAAGATTGAACATTAAAATATGTAGAAAAAGTGCGAAAAGATTGTCACCGTTGTGGGAATCGAACCCACGTCTTCGGCATTCGCGGCCTGACGCTCTAGCCACTGAGCTAAACAGTTGATTGCCTCACCGACGAAAATATTAACGTATTCTTCTACATTGTTTTCTTAGCATTTGAAGCTTTTTTAGCTCAGTGGCTAGAGCGTCAGGCCGCGAATGCCGAAGACGTGGGTTCGATTCCCACAACGGCGACAATCTTTTCGCACTTTTTCTACATATTTTAATGTTTAATCTTAAGTGCAAAGATTAGCACTATAAACAATTTAAATTTCTAAGTGTCTTATTCATAACAAAACGTTTATTGAAGGTATAAAATATGGAAGGTATTGAAGGTATAATTATGAAGCGTTCTATAAAAATCTTTATTCATAATCGTTTGCAAACGTCAGTAATCAGCTAACCAAAATCGGCCATGTTTTTTGCTAATATATCATTTTTTGCAAATTTATCGAAGGTTTAGTTTAGTAAGACACTTTATCGGAGAATTAATTGATGACAATTCTTCTTTTTCCTCTTGGGAAAAATGCTTCCCAAACTAGTTAGGTTCGGCACAACATATCCTTTCGTTCCACTTTCCTCTACCAGCAGTCATGTCAATACCTTTCCTTTTACAGACATATCATTCTTCACACAGTCCATCCAGATAATTCTCGGTCTTCCTCTACGCTTACACCCTCCGAACACATTCATGTTCCTCATTTAATGACGTAATTGTTCCATACGTTCAGGTGGTACGCGATAGCGGTCGTGTACATATACAACAGGTGGACGAAGAGCGAGATCAAGTGCCTGGTGAACGGTCAGCTCGCCTCCAGCACCGAGATGGCGTGGTTCGTCTCCACGAACGACGTGAGTACCTCTGCACGCCGAGTTCGTTGACCTATCAACGGCGAATTGTTCAAAATGTCAGTCTTTTACCATTGACAGTAGCGCTTCGCGGCTTCACGTTTCGACGACCCGAATCGCGTAGTGGGTCTGAATCTGCCAATTGCACCAGTGGGTGTGGGTTCGAATCCCGCTACTGGAAAAATATTGTGCGACGATCTTAATGTTTTTCCAATTTTTGTTTATATTTTGTATTTATTTAAAAAAAAGTGTGTTTAAGTATTTTTATCAGTTACCTAGTACCCATGGTACAAGCGTTGCTTACTTTGGTACGTTCAGAGAACGTTGTGTAAAAATGTGTCCCAAATGTTTATTTTGTTTATTAATTGACTGATATTGTTTCGTGACCGTAAAGGCCTAGTCTCACACTACCGATGACCATGTAAAATAATATCCAAATCTAAAAGCGCATATTCTTTGGGGATAAAGTATTCCCAGTAACAGACATATTACTATCCGACATATAAACAATCGCAATGCAATGTCGATCACTCGTTCCGCAGATGAGTAAAGCAAAAACAACCAAACAAACGTTTGCATTTTCATTTCTTTATATAAAAAAATTCAGCTTCCGTATGTTTGTGTTCAAAAAACTCAAAAAGTATCGGTTCGATTGACTCGATATTTGTTCACAACATAGCTATTAAACAGGAGAGTGTTTTTATTCCGAAGTTCAAACGTAAACGAAAAAAAAGCAACCAGAGATAAGCGCGGCCGGGTTCTCCTAGTATATTAAATAAATATAATACGTACAAGCGAAAAACAGACATGGATTAAATACTTGTGTATTACGCATTACGAAATTCTTGGGACGCAAAACGCGTTTAGCAATAGCTATCTTTACCATTTATTTAGCTATATCTGTCTTCCCTTATTATCTTTTGAGCATTAAAGAACGAATATTTAACATTCTTCAAATTTCTCAACCGTTAACTTTAACTGTCTGATTCGAAATTTGTCAAATGTTTCCGATTTATTAGGCCCAATATTTTATCCTTACTGGGTACTACTCTCTTTAAGACTAAAACCGGTTAGTTTGTGAATTTTATTTTTAGTGCTAGTCTCTGCACTTAAATGAAACTGAAAATGTGAGTGTTTTTTGTAGAAAAATTTTTGAAAACTTTTCGCCACCCGGGTAACTTTTGAATAACGATCGATCTGTCAAGTAGATATATTTGGCTACGGTTTGACTATTTCCTCCGTTAAGTGACAATGTAATACATTCTCTACAATTTGTAAATCAACTTCATTCACTACTTCCGCCGGCCCAGTAGTTTTCCCGTACCTCTATCCAGAACAAACGATCCCCTCGAATAAATCCGGCTCGTACGCACCACCTTAATCATCCCCCAATTACCAGGCGAGCATAAATCTCGACAGCTTAGCGTCTAATATATTCGGTTACATCTCGCCCTACGTGACTGCTCGTCACGTACGCGCCGTTAGGGTAAATTTACTATCGACGCAGTATGCAGATTTCGCACAGAGCTTTTGGGTTTGCGGTCATTGCCCCCAAAACGTTCACGCTGTAGGTAGATTTTAACGTATACATAATAAAGTAGGTCAAATGTAATACTAATTATCTCAAAACGTAAACGTAAGTGACGTAAAAAAAATATATTATGCTTATATATACTTCCAGACGCGACAGATGTTATCCGAATATTAAAATAAAATTATTAAATTATATATATAAAGTGATAAGAGTTCTGCCGTAAGCGCGCATCACGGAAATCGCTACTGAAAAAATTTTAATTCTTCTAAGATTTATTTCTTTAATACCTGACCCTTATCTAAATAAAAGTCGATTTTTATAAACCACACCGCAGTGATTAAGTAATTTTTCCTCTGCATATAAAATACATTGTTAATATAATAAGGCAGATAGAAATGGTCGTATCAACTAGTTATATAATAAACTAGCTGTACCCGAGACTTCGTCCGTGTGGAATTAAACAAAAAATCTAAAATAAAAGTAGCCTATGTTACTACTGCATTAGGTTACATCAGCAATCTGCCTGTCCAAATCAGTCCAGCCGTTCCAGAGATTAGCCGGAACAAACGGACAGACAGACAGACAAAAATTGTAAAAAAAATATTTTGGTACATCCAAATAATAAAATGTGTACATCCATATACATTTAGTAAAAAGCGGTTATTTTTATATTACATACAGACACTCCAGTTATTTATCTGTATAGATAGATTAAGCTAAGCAGTCATTGATGTTGAGGGCCCGTGATGTTAACCAGTTAGAGTAATGGAGCTTTAAGTTTATATATATTATATTATAAATATTAGATTATAACTTAAAGGTATATTTTATCCTGCTGTATAGGTATTAAAGAAAAAATAGTGGAGTAGAAAAAAAATAATGAGTGGTTTTAAGAAATGAAAAGACGCACAGGCACAGTAGACACAGCCTTTTTAGTATTAAATTATTAGTATTAAATTCATTCGCTAGATAGAATTTAATCATAAATATAGGTAAATGGAAACAAAACGAGTAGATTTATAATACTTACTTATGATATTAAAACTATTTGGCACTCCTATGCTAACATAAAAGCTTCATCGTATCGCGTGTTTAACAATGATCCCAATCAATGCTGTGCTGCCCATCGCATTGAATGAATATTCATGGAGCATTGCTGATGAATGTCCACGCACCGTCAGTAAAACATTACTTCGTCATCGTGATATTAACCAGTTAGAGTAGGCGTTGGAGTAGAAGTAACGCGTTTTTTTAAACATTGCCCTTACTTTAGGCTAACATTATATTGTGTTGTAATGGAGATCGAACCCACGACCACCGACGCCGAAGCTAATACCTTGGCAACTGCGCCACGGAGTCTTTAAAGTCAACTACGATTATATACGAGATTTTACTCTCCGCTTTCGTCCTCATAAATGTATTCGAAATTCGATCAAAGTTAAAGCCAAAGTCAAAGGTTCTCTTTTCAATATAAGAAATTTTGACTTTGACATTAACTTTGATTGTATTGTGAATAAAATGATTAACTTTTTTCTGGATTAAATCCTGTATTTTTATAAAAAGCTCTATTCCTTATAATAAATATCCTCCATTCCAGAATCCTTTTAAAGTAGCGCCGTTTTCTAGGGTTTAAACAGATCCTGTGTGATGGGCTTAAACCTACGACTAGACGCCTGCGCCGAATAGCTTAGTAACTGCTAAAATCGTAATAAAACAATAAAGTTTAACCTATACAGCCATGACGCATATTTTGCATTTCATATCTCTTTTGACACTTCCAATTTTAATCTGTTTCGGAAAGTTACTCATACTCGTACTTTTAGGGATTTGGGGGTGAAATTTTGACGTGCAACGTTATTTGCGAGCTTTCCGCGTAACGAAATGGGACCCATGTGACGTCACGTAAATCGACTGCGCCAAGTTAACAGTCGAAGAGAATGAAATATTCACATATCCTACCGTGATTACAATTTTTTTATGTTATAGAACGAACCATTTTGGTTAACACCATCCTGTACCTATATTTTTATAGTATTTAACTTTACTTTGTTTTAAACACATCAAATCACCGTAATTTGACTTTTTACAAAAACAATACTGGTATAGTTACAAGTACTTATTTCCACTTTAGACTAAAGAATCACGAGTCTAACTATTAAATTTGAGATACCGATTCACTATCGCGTATACTTCTTCTTGACAGCCAAAAAAGTCCATGAAAAGCTTCGTGTTGCTTCATTTGTACCACAGAATAACACTTCTTTTAGTGTTGCCCACAATAGGTGTACTCGGCAAATTTATACCGAATTAAATCCCCGGTACAGTCCACGGCGAAAGTTCCGATGTCTAACGTCAGGTTGACGTTTATTTTCGACTAGCTGCTGCCCGCGACTACGTCTGCGTAGAATAGGCTGAAGGCGTAACATTCAGATAGAAAGACAGATATACATAAAATATGTATGTAAATTATAGCCTATGTATAATAATCTGATGTATAAGCTATATTATTGTAAAGTTTAATTAAAATCCATTTAGTAGTATTTGCGTGAAAGAGTAACATCCATACATACATACAAACTTTCGCCATTATAATATTAGTAAGGATAATTCAATATTTCGACAATGACCAATTAGTGTAGTTGGTAGTGAACCTCCCTCTTACGCCAGATTGTGTGGGTTCGAACCCCACTACTGGAAAAATATTGTGTGATGAACATAGTGTTTTTCGAGTGTCTGGGTAAGAAAAGTATGTTGAGTATGTTTATCAATTATCTAGTGCCCATAGTACAAGCGTTGCTTAGTTTGGGATTAGAGAACGTTGTGAAAAATGTGTCCTAAAATATTTATTTATTAATTTGATATGTTTACAACAAGCGATCTCCGTCCATGACCTCAGCCCCTGCATGAAAACCGTGCATACTTTTCGCTCCGGGAACAAAGGCCCCCTTTGTCTCCCATGTCCAGCGGGATGTGAAATCAGACCCGGGGCTCGCCGGCACAGTAATTACATTTCCTCATGAATAATAAACACACCCGTGTTGTCTCGCCTTTGATTTTTGCCCCACACCTGCGATCGGATTTTGCTTTGGTCGAAAACTGTTTTAATGCCACGTTTCGTGGACTCGATTAGGTTATCACGTTGTTGTTGAAGCCTCGATGAAGATCTATAAACGTGTTTGTTCAGTGTCGATAGTGTTGTTTATGTTAGAGAGATTTGCGATAGATTTTATTTAACACTTTACCATCGAGGCGACCTTCCTTTGGTCACGTTTTTGGGGAAAATGACGACGTGCACAGTAACTTATGCCGAAGGCTATCTTATGATCATGCTAGACTATTGCAAAAATAAGAAAGTTTTTGTAGGAGTTCAGGAGGAAAGCTAAAACGATTACTGGTAGTTCATTGTCTATCAAGTGAAATTAAGCAAGATCTTATTATATACCCGATTTTGTGGGTAATTTATTTGTTTTTAAATATAATATTGATATGTACAAAATCCAATCAATTATTGCATATAGACAAAAGTTTAGGAGTTCTAGGGTGACGACTTGAATATGTGCAATATAGTATAGCATATTCTTCTATGTATCGTATTGTAACATTAGATATTATAAATAAAACAAAGAGAGAGACTGATTCTAAACAATGACGATATAAACATGACAGCGGAAGAAGCCGTAACAATTCCAAATCTCTATTAAAATATATATTCATCTCGAAACAGCAGTCGCTAAACTCAACATTATCTACGCACGCACGCCGCGTAGCTAATAACCTGCCCCGGAATGATTATTAAGCCAGTGTTAAGACGAAATCCCCGGGTGTTTCGGAATGGGAATTAACGAGGCGTTACGTCGTTACGTACATACGTCATGTAATCATATATGTATATGGTAAACCCTAGGAGATAAATATAACTTCTTCTTTTACATATAGTTCATAAGTATGCCTCCACTTTTTTTGATCGTGTGTAATTTATTTAATCTAAAACTACACTTTGTAAAAAAAATCCATAAAAAAAAAATCCAAAAAAAAAAGTAGATTAGATATTTACATGTCCGATTCAGAACGTGTTCTTCTTAACGAATTATTTTAACAATAAATATTTATCAAAAAGGAATTCCTCTATTAAGAGACCAATAATACTTAAGACGATACATCTGTAAATGAAAGATTTAAAATCAGGGATCCGTTAAACTAATAGTCATGAGTGAATAATGAATTAATAATAATAATACAATAGTAACCTCAGTCGTTGTAAATCCACAAGCTTGTTGCTTTTCACAATAGTGATCGATACTTTAGATGAGACGTAATAATAATAAAATGTGACTTTAATTTCTGGCAATGGTACAAAAGATGGACGTGATTTTTTGCATGAAGTTAGTTTATGACCCGGTAAGTGTCAACGGCGAATATTTATTCAAGAAAATGCTCGGTTCCTGTGCCATAAATTTTGGGTGTAAATCTTGCAGTTGTTTTCAAGGCCCAACTAATATTTATGATGACTTATAAATTCTAAAGCTCTGTAATCGGGCTGTATGAAAGAAGAACGCTTAGTGTGTACCACTTTCGGTTTTATGGTTGGCAACATAATTACAACCCTATAAATGGGATGGGTGGTGGTAAACTATTAACATGGAACTGCCCAATATAAGTCTTACACCTTATTTCAAAACATAAAACCTGAACTGTAATACCGAGTAGGTACTGTTCTTAACAATTATACAAATCGAAAAGACGTATGCAAACGATTTAACCGTAGAGCAAGTACTGTCTAATATTTATTATCTCCGTATCGTCTCATGTTAGTTCAGAACTAGCGTTCGCGGCATCTCTCGTCTGTCAATTACAACGCTTTGTTTAATGGCAAACGCCTTTGAAACTTGCCGCGTAACCGCTTATCTGCGAGTTGCTTCCCGTCTCTCTAACCTGGTTACCGCACTTTGCGGAGTTTATTACCCGCGTGACGCTGTAATTTCTCATACGCTAATAACGCGTGGCTCGTCGTTTCTGACGACTCAGTTCCTCCGCCCCTTACTCAAGTAAAGACAGGCCGAGGTATTTCGCCTTTACCGTGTGGATTTTACGTTAATGTCATTTCGTAAAATATTTAGATGAAAATTGAAGCAGAAGAAATCGACAGTTTTGTACGATCAATATAAAAATCCAAAGCTCCAAATATACCGGATATTCTTCTTGATTTGAGGATTTTGTTCTTTAACAGCCCTTCGACAAGTGCTACATCGGCGCGACGGCGGAGCTTGACGAGGAGAGGGTATTCTGCGGCCAAATGGCGGCTATATACCTCTTCGGTGAGGCTCTCACCACCCACCAGATCTGTGCAATGCACCGCCTTGGACCCGGATATAAGGTACGATCAGGTTTTAGTAAGTATTCAAAATTGTCTACAATTGATAAATTTCCATCTTGTATCAACTGATGATAATTTTGTTGTATTCGTAACAGTATTATTTGATCAACTTTGATATTATTTCGACAACAATAACATTTCGATGTCTGTTCCCTGTGCTAACCGTGGATACAACAACAACAACAACAGAGCCAATTCCGTTTCGACAACGAATGCAACATCAGTTTGCCGGAGAACCACAAAAGGGTGAGCGACAACGCCGCGCCGAGGCTTGATCCCGCTGACAGTCCGCCCGATCCCGCCGATTCCACCATTTCCGCCGATTCCGCCATTTCCGCCGATCCCGCCAATTCCGCCGATCCCCACCCGCCGAGCCCACTCGCCCCGAAGCTTCGCAGGAGGATACCAGGGCGGCAGGGCGCGAGGAGAGTGTCGTTGTGAAGGATGACGCGACGCCGCGCGGCAGGCGATTGGCCGACGAGGCCCGCGAAGTGGCCGCCGCGCATGCGACCCTGCTCGTAGATATTGAAGCATGCAAGCGTGTAAGCATGACGCGCCGCTATGCGATGCTACGAATTTATGTTCTCCGTGTGGCCCCTCGTGCTTTGTGTGTAACGGGGGCCAGGCATTGACGGCCCAATCCTCCAGCGCTGCACCCACCCCCGCACCGCCGCCACCGCCGCCACTCGTGCTTTAGCCAGTTAGGGATGTCGAAAGTGAAGAAATATATCGATATTTTTGAAAGTATCAATATCGGCCTCGATATATCGAAGAGGAAATATCGATATATCGACATATCGGATATAAGTCCTAGAAACGCCGCTGTCAAAAAAAGTATGTCAAATCTGTGCCGAATTGGAATTTGAAAAAATATCGTCTTTTCGATATCGAATGTTTGGTATCGATATATCTGATCCAAATATATCGGCTAAAATATCCTTATACAAGATCAAAAATGTCGATATATAGATATATTTTCGAAATATCCTTATACAAGATCAAAAATGTCGATATATAGATATATTTTCGACATGCCTATAGCCAGTGTTGTCCTTGTGCCGCCAGGGTCAGTTCCGTTTCGACGCGGAGTGTCGCGTACCGCTACCGTCGGCCGAAGTGCGCGTAGATAAGTACGGTGACCTCGTCCACGATCCGACGCAGAACTTGCACGACGTAAGACATACGGAGCACGCGTATATTACACTGAAATGGTCTAACACCTTATTGAAAATACTAAAAGGATAATTAATATCGTATGAACTGATTGCGTAATGGGCTAGGGTCGCGTTTGCATGAATTGTTGAGGAGTGATTCTCATACAAATTGGTATCTAACATTAAGATAAGGCTACTATCGTATACTTTCGTAATTTGTAACAATAATGAATGTCCAGTAACAGTTATTTAGCTGTCTATTTAATTACATAGTCTTAAATTGGCTAATTAATGCATGCTGGGAAATATTGACCGGTAAAAATTTTCATGAGTATCTCTACTAAAAATTGAAGACGTTATGTATAAAAACGTTCAATGCCTAACACAACTAAATCTATTTGCATAATGGTTAATGTATTTAAGATGTTCCTAGAAGTTTAACGCCTAGTTAAAGCGAGTTGACGGTTAAAGCAATGAAACTAAATTATTAAACTAATTAAGTTGAACTGCCGAGAGGGATGTTTGTTGACTCACCGTTATACATAGACCACACTGGTGTCATGAAATTTGGTTAATGCTCCCCAATTCACGGAATTAACTTGTTAGACACAACAGTTTATCCGTGCGGACTTCGTGAAACTTTTGTTATTACATTTCCAATGGCTCCTCCATCTATTCCAACCGCTTTGCAAATCGAAATTAAAGTCATGGATACATTTATTATTTAAAAATGGTTATAAATTTGCTTTAATAGCGCAATGCCAAAATTTTATCAAAATATTTTTAGCCTTTGAGGACTGTAAAGAGAATCAGAAAAAATATTTCCCATTTATTTTTCTTGTATATATATCTGCCATCATAAGTAAACCAGCCATAATTTGTCGTAGTCGTTAACTTGTTATTTACGCATTTGCACCACCCGTAGGGTGGCAGATGCGTTGCCACCTTATTATAAAGAGGGCCCAGGCTACCTCACATAACACATTCACTTCACGCCGGTCTTCTATTAGGTCGTGGTATTTACTTGGACAGACTTGCTCATTCGTGCAACAGCGAAGATTGTTGCGTGGCCCTGCCACAGTTATATACACAGTTGTATACTATCTACCCTCGTTTAAAATAAACATGGTACTGTATGCTATAGTAACTGAAACCGTTTACTTAACAGAGAAAGGTTTAGTCTGTTTCGTTTCTAGTTTTGCAAAATGGCTAATCTCAAAACAGCGTTGCAGCTACAAGACATTCCTCTGCTTTACATACAGTTATTATTTAGATTTTTTTAAATTAATTGATTATGACGTGGTCCCCTTCCGCGAGATCCTGGAGTTCTCATGAATATTTCACAAGCGCACACCGCCTGCCCAATTTGAATGTTGAATACTTTACTCGCATATATAATTTCCAATTTAATTTGATCCCGCTGTGTACACTTTCTCGCGTATCGTTCGCTTAATCTCAATAAGGATTATTTAAACTGTTATCTGTTACTCGTTAACTGTTGTAGAGCGACGAAACGGCCTTCGTTGTTGCACGAATGAGAAGATCCCTCCCATCGGTAAGTACCACGACTTCATACAAGACCGGCATGAAATGAAGTGTTATATTTTTGCGTTTCATTTGGTGAGTGAGGTAACCGGAGCGCACTTTATTAAAAGGTTGCAACTCATCTGCAACCCTACGGGTGTTGCAAGTGTCCAGAGGCGGCGGTTATCACTTAGCATCAGGTGAACCGCCAGTTCGTTCGTCACCTCCTCACATAAAAGAAAAACATAATTTAATAACGTATCATTTCTGACTTCCGTCCACACTGTTTGTTGTCTAACTTTACTTCAGCAGACTTTTGCAAAAGTAAACCGTGTTTAGGCGAGCGAGCGGTGCTGCCGAAGTTACCTCAGACAAAAGGCGTCAAAGTTATTGCTCCCGGGGCCCGAGCCGCGCACTTTTCATAACCGGCAGCGACGTGGGGAAAGTTTTATTAAGGAAGTGGCGAACCATTTTGACACCAAATTCCCCGCTTCGGCACTCGGCGAAAAGTAAATTGAATATCTAAGTGACGCTAGAGCGTTCAAAGTGTTATTTACCTTCTTCGTATTTTTTAAAAGTAAACTGTTATTGAAATTGGTGCCCTAAAAAAAATGTTGATGGTTGCCAAATGTTGGCTAGGTTTGGCTCACTTCCAAACTTAGTTATGCAAACTTTTTTAATACACACTATTACCTGTGCATTTTTGGTATCTTCAAGGACATCTTCAAGAGTTACCCTGTAACCTAGGGGAAGACCACACTCTAAAACCCCTTATTTATCTCTACGTATGGGCCTTTTGCGGCCGGCAACTGGGCCACGGAACATGAGCTTTTAATAGTTCTCTTTTAAAATATATGACCACCTTTTTGATAAACCAAATTGTTTTACTTTTCGAACACTTACAGCTGCTCATGAAATTATCACGAATTTATTGTATTTAACAAACTGTAATAAACGTTTCTCAAATAAAATTATTAGGTTGTATAAAGATTAAGGCTGTACATTGTCACCTAATGACTTTTTTATTAATTGAGGTGGAATATTGAATAAATTAACTTTTAACTGTGGTAGAGCCACGCAGCAGCCTCGGCTGTTGCACGAATGGGCAGGCTCGTCCGAGTAGGTACCACGACCTCACAGAAGACCGGCGTCAAGTGGAAGTATAATTACTTTCGCGTTTCGTCTGGTGAGTGAGGTAGCCGGAGCCCAATATCCAAACGGTTGTCAACGCATCTGCAACCCTCGGGTATAGCTGATGTCCATGGGTGGCGGTATTTACTTAACATCAGGTGAACCGCCTGCTCGTTTGGCAACTCTTCATATAAAAAAAGAAATATAAGCAGCTTTATCTCGTAAGCCACATATGTATATCTCTTACGGAATCCACAGATGCGAACTTATGTTTGCGTACTAGTTTTGACAACAAAAACAATGTGTAACATAATTATAGTCTTTCACTCTAATTCGCACTATCGATCATGAAGTCTAATTTATTCCACACGAATAGATTAAACGCGAAATGATTCTGTCGTAAATTTCAAACTTTCATCACGATGCAAGTATAAGGTGGCCGAATCCACTTTATCGAGTTGGCCGGAAGCGAAATGCGAATAGATTAGATTTTGTTTAATATCTTTAGCTATAGGGGGTTGCGCCATCGCCCCACTGTCCCCGCTGTCCCGCTGTCCTACCCCCTTCATCCGCTTTCATTCCTTTTAAGATTAGACGTGACAAAAAGCGAATATTTGCGACGTTTCTTGCTCAACAGACAAAAATACTTCTTACCCTTTGATGTTTACTTGCTTTCACGTAAGTTTAGACTGTCTCAAAATGTCTTGTTTTCAACCGACCTCAAAAGAAAAGGAGGTTCTCAATTCGACTGTATTTATAAATGAAACTAATTTTACGGATTTATCGCGTGTATTTTTAATTTTAATTCCCGACGTTTCGAACCCTTTACAGCGTTCATGGTCACGGGACAGACTGAGGTGTTAGACTTCTGATTGTCATAGTTGACCCGGGCTACCGTCAGTTTTTGAATTATTAATTTTGTGTCCGATCTATGCAGAGGGAGCTAATTGTATCTTGTCTTGCAGTAGTGGTTCGTTTGGGCCTAGATTTAATTTTATTGATGACAGGATCCCAAGCTGATAGTAGTACCCAACTTTATTGAAATTAGGGTGTTTTTTAATTTCAATAGTATCGCGAATCACCTTGGGAGGAGGAATCGGTGTTTACAAACTGCAGACTTTTTCAATCTATTATGTTTTATGTCAGCTATATGTTCTTACACGCGGGTTTTTATTGCTCTTTTCGTTCGTCCTATGTAAGAAATAAATCACCTTAACTTATTAAATTCCAAAATACAATTCACTATGGAATTAGAGAGTAATAACTCGAAAAAATAAACGCGATAAATCCGTAAAATTAGTTTCATTTATAATGTGTAATCGCGTAAATACAAGAAATAATCATCGACTGTATTTTTTCTTATGTTTGGTACCTCAGAATCGGTATCAGAATTTTGATGATACTTTTTTTATTTGAAAGCTGTTGCGTCCCGTGTGGTCCCATATTAATTTCATTGGTATTGGATCATGGGCTCCGGATACTTAGATAGCTCAAAATCAATTATAAAATGAACACAGAGCAAGGTATTTGAAGTCTATTTTGTTTTTCGTTAATAATGTTGTATTAAAAATTACCATATATTATTTTTCTCTTTTCATGAAAGTTTCACCCTTACTGTAGGTTAACATGATCCTGTGCTGTAAGGACGTTTGAACACACATAAATGTCAAGTGGACAAACACCCAGATCCGAAATAATTATTTGTGGGTCACACAAATAGTTGTCCCGTGTGGGAATCGAACGGCGCCGAAACCTGACTGAAGAGTAACTTGGCAACTGCGCCACGGAATCATTAGATTTTAATAGTTTTCTCTTGAAATATGTAACCAGCTTTTTGATAAACAAAACTTTTCTACTTTTCGAACACTTGCAGCCGCTCATGAAATTGTCATGAATGTCTTGTATAGAAGAGTACAAGAAAATCATTAGGTTATATAAAGCTTAAGACTGTGTATGTCACCTAATAATTTTTTATTAATTGAGGAGGAAGATTAAATTAGTATTAGCGGCTATATATTATTCTGAGAAGGGAGATTAAATTAATTTGGTCGGAAGCTACACGTGTTACCCTATCTTTGATAGAATTTGGAATATTTCGCTCTTCTTTATACGTGGTTTATTTATTTATACACGTTTTTGTACACACTATAACAAAAGAAACCTTAAAAAACATATTACATTCCAAAAGGTTACAAAAATGGTAAATCATTTATATGTTATGAACTAGTGATGAAACTAGACGGGCCTTCTTTACATAAACTAATGAAAATAAAAATTGCATGTCCTTTTATGTGAGAAGTTGTAATTGATCCTAGCCATTCTCGTTAAGTGATAACCGCCGCCCATTGACATTTGCAATACCCA